AAGAATAGGGCGGAATATGTATTTTTGCCATCCCTTTACTTATTTTTGTGTGCTGTGAGGTTACTCTTTGAACAGCTCTGTGTGTTATTTTCTGTGAGCAACTCAAGCATATATTGGTGCGAGGCAGAAGGGTATTTGCTGAGACTTTTTATCACACAATTAGGTAATAAAGATAGTTCTTGCAAGGGTCTTATAGGGTTGGGCATCCTTTTCCTATATTGTGGTCTGGCATAATGTCGTGTGTAAAAATACAAAAATTAGCAGACTGATTGATGTGGTTGTGAGTGTGTGGAATTCTGCATGTTATTTAACCAGAAAGAAGTTTTTTTTTTTTTTCTTTCTCTTCTATAGTCTTCAGCATATTTAAATACTCAACAAACATTTATTGAACGAAGGAGTGAATTTCCATATGTATGTTATCTCATTCAGCTATCACAAGAATCCATTATTGCAGGTGTTATTATCTCATTTTATAGCAGAAGAATCTGATATTCAGAAAAGTTTTTGACCAGGATCATAGGGTCAATAAGTAGGAGAGCCTATGTTCCATTCTATTTCTGTCTCACTCAAAAGCTCTTGTGCAGCCCTTTCTCCCAGTAATAGTAGCTACTCTTTGTTGTGTGCCTCACACATCTTAGATATTTTACATACCAAATATAACAACTATTTTAAGAGGTGAGTGTACGCCTATTTTTCATATGAGGAACCTGAAGCTTGGAGAATTTGAGTAACTTCTAGTAGGTGATAGGAGAGGGTTTCACACTCAAATCTGCCATACTATAAAACCTCCATTCTTTTCATTGTTTCTCAGATAGCTATATTAATTTTAAATAATAAAAAGTTTTTACTGTATATTAACTTTTTATTTTCTTGTCATTCCTGTACATAGTACAGGGACATTCAGTAATGTTTGTTAGCATTTATTGTAGGTATGGAAACATGTTTTGCTTGGAATTTTCATTTGTGCTTGGCTTTCCTTTTTTCTTTTTTGACCTGTTTGGTGAAGGGGAAGGAAAACTGAATATTGTAATAGCATTTTTGTTTAAAAATCATAAATATTTAAAATTAATTAGATAATGAATGTGGCCAGAGTATAATTTGAAATTAAACTTGTTTATGGTTGTCATTTGAAAGGTTTGTCAATTTTTTTTCTTTTCTTTATTTTTTTTGAAACAGAGTCTCACTCTGTTGCCCAGGCTGGAGTGCAGTGGCCCGATCTCGGCTCACTGCAAGCGCCGCCTCCCAGGTTCACTCCATTCTCCTGTCTCAGCCTCCTGAGTAGTTGGGACTATAGGCACCCGCCCACCACACACGGCATTTTTTGTGTTTTTAGTAGAAACGGAGTTTCACCGTGTTAGCTGGGGTGGTCTTGATCTCCTGACCTCGTGATCTGCCTGCCTCAGCCTCCCAAAGTGCTGGGATTACAGGCGTGAGTCACCGTGCCCAGCCCAGGTTTGTCAATTTTAAAAGATGATATGCTTCATTTTTAGAGGTATGTTGTAATATACTTTAAAACTATTTTGTTTAGAAGTAATTTCAGACTGAACAAGAATGTTGCAAAAATAGTACAAGAATTCCTAATATTTTTACTCTAGATTTTCTAAAAATTAACATTTTGCCATGCTTGTTTTTTTGTTTTTTTTTTTTTGAGACGGAGTCTCACTCAGTCGCCCAGGCTGGAGTGCAGTGGCGCGATCTCAGCTTACTGCAAGTTTCGCCTCCTGGGTTCACGCCATTCTCCTGCCTCAACCTCCCAAGTAGCTGGGACTACAGGTGCCCGCTGCCATGCCCAGCTAATTTTTTGCATTTTTAGTAGAGACGGGTTTCACCGTGTGAGCCAGGGTGGTCTCGATCTCCTGACCTCGTGATCCACCCACCTTGGCCTCCCAAAGTGCTGGGATTACAGGCGTGAGCCACCATGCCCGGCCATGCTTGTTGTTTTAATGAATTATTTTATCTATATTACTGTGTAATTATTTAAAAATGTAAGGCTGGGTGCTGTGGCTCACGCCTGTAATCCCAGCACTTTGGGAGGCCGAGGTGGGCAGATTGTGAGGTCAGAAGTTCGAGACCAGCCTGGCCAACATGGGGAAACCCCGTCTCTACTAAAAATACAAAAAACTAGCTGAGCATGGTAGTACGCGCCTATAGTCCCAGCTACTCGGGAGGCTGAGGCAGGAGAATTGCTTGAACCCAAGAGGTAGAAGTTGCAGTGAGCCGAGATCGTGCCACTGCACTCTAGCCTGGGCAACAGAGCAAGACTCCATCTCAAAACAACAACAACAACAACAAAATTAATTAAAAAAATGTTTGAGAGTAAGTTGCAGTTCTTTCATAGTCACTACAGTGATCAAAATTGGGAAGTTAATATTGATATGATACTATTATATAATCTACAGACCTCATTCTAAGTTTTACCAGTTATCTGACGAACATCTTTTTCTGGACCAAGATCCCTCATAGTTTTTCAGTGTTTTCTTGCCTCCATTTATGCATAGGTTATGTGCATTGGTTATTTTTTTCTCCATTTGAACTTTACTCTCAAACGTTATTGGTATTTTTACTGGGATTGTATTAATCTTGTTAAATTAATTTAGGGAGGACTGATGTATTTATGAGGCTGAGTTGTCCTGTCAAAGAACAGGGATTATCTTTTTATTTATTCAGTTCTGTCTTTGTGTCTTTCAGGAGTGTTTTAAGGTTTTCTTCATATATAAGTGTTTTATTTCTTGTTAAACTTATGCCTAAATACCTTCCTTAATTCCTTTAATCATCCTTGTTGCTGCTATTGCACATGGACTTTTCACTGGTGTTATATCCTTTAATCTGGTCATTACTTGTGTATACGAAGGCTACTGATCTTTTCCCCCCTCAACGTGGAATCTCGCTCCGTTGCCCAAGATGGAGTGCAATGGCGCTATCTTGGCTCACTATAACCTCCATCTCCTGGATTCAAGCGATTCTCCTGCCTCAGCCTCCCAAGTAACTGGGATTACAGGTGCACATCACCAAGCTTGGCTAATTTTTGTATTTTTTTTTTTTTTTAATTAGAGACAGGGTTTTACCATGTTGGCCAGGCTGGTCTTGAACTCCTGACTTCAAGTGATCTACCTGCCTCCGCCTCCTAAAGTGCTGGGATTACAGGTGTGAGCCACATGCCCAGCTGGCTATTGATTTTTATATATTAATCTTATGACTTGCTATCTCACTGAAGGTTTTAATTTTCGAGTTAGTTTTATTACTGATTTTACTTATAGGGGTTTCCACATATGCAGCTATATTGTATCATCTACAAAAAGAGATGGTATTACTACTTCTTTGCTCATTGTAATATTTGAATTGACTTATCTAAATAGACAAAAAATGTTATTAAAATCATAAAGAAGAGAAAATATAGTTACTATTCATTAAGTGGAAGGTGATCATCTTAAAGATCTTCATCCTTGTTGCCTTCTTCATCATTTTCTCGTTGAGTAGGCTGAGGAGGAAGAGGAAGGTTGGTCTTGCTGTTCCAGGTGGTAGAGGCAGAAGAAGTGGAAGAGGAGACGGAAGAGGCAGGCATATTTGATGTAACTGTCATTGAAAAAAGTCCCCTTATAGTGGACCCATGCAGCTTAACCCTGTGTTGTTCACGAGTCAAATGTAATCAATATGTGGCCTTTTGGATACGGTGCTACACACCTGTAATTCCAGCACTTTGGGAGGCTGAGGCAGGTAGATCGCTTGAGCCCAGGAGTTCAAGACCAGCCTGGGCAACATGGTGAAACCTCATCTCTACGAAAAATACAAAAGTTAGTTGGCACTGTGGCACATGCCTATAGTCTCAGCTACTTGGGAGGCTGAAGTGGGAGGACTGCTTGAGCCTGGAAGGAGGAGGCTGCAGTAAGCCGAGGTCGCACCTCTGCATTCCAGCCTAGTTGATAGAGTGAGACCCTGTTTTTTTTTCTTTAAAAAAAAAAGTCCAGGCACAGTGGCTCACACCTGTAATCCCAGCACTTTGGGAGGCTGAGGTGGTGGGATCACCTGAGGTCTGGAGTTCGAGACCAGCTTGGCAAACATGGTAAAACCCCATCTCTACTAAAATACAAAAATTAGCCGGGCGTGGTTGCGTGTGCCTGTAATCCCAGCAACTGGGGATGCTAACTAAGGCAAGAGAGTTGCTTGAGCCTGGGAGGTGGAGGTTGCAGTGAGCCGAGATTGCACCTCTGTACTCCAGCCTAGGTGGCAGAGCTAGACTCCGTCTCAAAAAAAAAAAAAAAAAGAGGGAAAAAAAAGTGACCTTTTGTGACTGGCTTCTTTAAGTTAGTATATTTTCACAGTTCATTCATGTCATAGCATGTATTAGGACCTCATTCCTTTTTACTGCTTAATAATAATCCTTATGTCATTTATTCTTATTAATAAATGGTTGGTGTATATATTTTCCTGATTACTGTGCTAAATGTATCACATTGATTCTGATATGTAGTGTTTTCATTACCACTATTTTCTGACAAGTTCTGTAATTTCCATTTCTATTTTCATTTTTTACCCGAGAATTATTTCATGGAAATATTTTTTAAATTTCCAGATGGACTTTTAATTTTATCAGTAATTTCTAGTTTTATTGCCTGGTGATTTGAGTGTGTTGTTTGTAGATTGGGGGGATTCTTAGTACTATGGTGCCCTTTTCTGTAAGTGTACTGGAATGGGGTCTTGCAGTACTGCCCAGGCTGACTCTTTAGGTGCAATCATGGTGCACTATAGCCACAAACTCCTGGGCTCAGGCAATACTCCTGCCTCAGTGTCCTGAGTTGCTGGGACTACAGGTGTACCTTGTCCTTTTTTTGTCTTGTAGAACCATACAAATGTCCTCTTTTGCTGCTTTTCTCTTTCACTACCCAATTGCACCAAAAGGGACCTTGCCCTTTCATTTTGCTTTTTTTTTTTTTCTTTTTCTTCTCAGAACCTATGCCTTTAAGATTCCCATCTCAGATCTCCTGTGTTTTTCAGCCCGTTCCATATGGTCATGGTTTGATCTATAGGAATACTTTCTTGGTATTTTCACACTTGGGGAGGAGGCCTTTCTTTTCTTGGTAGTTTAGAGCAGTTGTTGGCCTGCCATTATCTCCCGTCTTCTCTGCACAGTTTCCTCAGCCTGCCCTTGTACCCTTAAAGGTTTGTGTAGAAACGTGAGCAATTGTTGGCTGGGATTTGGGCTTATATATTTTTTCTTTTTCTTTTTTTTTTT